GGAGAATTCCAAAGATCCAGAAACCACTGGGTGAAGTAATTTTTCCTTATCTCAGTCCAAGATGATCAGCTCTTTATCCTGAGATGAGAGGTATGGACATCCAGGAGATCATGACCTTATTTGGCAATTTGTTATACAGAAGCTCTTTTGGTAAACACAAATGTGTCTGAGCCAGTACAGACATCACTACTTAGCAATGAATCTCTGTTGATAGAATTAGCGTTCCTCAGGAACCCCGCCCCCCCGAATACATCCCCTGAACAGCAGAAATGGTCTTTCAATAAGCACTATATTGATTTCTCAGACAACTACGAACGGTGGGGGAATATCTGAGAAAGTGGAGTCATGATTGAACGGTAGGAACAAAGTCCACAAATCACATTGCCCAATGCTGCTCTTGTCTCTGTAACCTCCTCTGGTCCTTACACCCCTCCCTAGGTCTGTAAACACCTCCAGTCTCTACACCTTTCTCTATGTCTATAAACACCTCCAGTCCCTAAAACCCACCCTGTCTCTGTAACCTTTCTATGTTCTAAACACCTCTAGCCCTAACAACTCCAGTCCCTAAAACCCATCCCTGTCTCTGAAACTTACTCAAGCTCCTACAACCCTCTCTATCTCTGTAATCTCCTCCATGTGCTACAACCCTCCCTATCTCTGTAACCTTCTCCAGGTCTAATAACCCTCCCTATCGCTAATGTCCTGCAGACCTTACAGCCTCCCTGTCATTGTAACTTTCTCTGGCTTAAGAGCCCTCCCTATTTGTGTAACCTTCTCCTGCCATGGTACCCCTCCCTATCTCTGTAACTGCAGCATCAACCAGAGGGGCCTCTTACTTCACTTTCTTCCAGCTACTACTTACAAATATACGGATTAGCAGCAGAATTGGCTATGACCCCTTTGGCCTGCTCTGCCGCTCAGTAAGATCATGGCTGTCTGATTGTAATCTCTACATTCCTGACTATTTCCAATAACCTTTCCCCTGTCCTTTGCTTAACAAGAATCATTCGACCTCTGAATTAAAAATACTCGAGAAATCCGATTCCACCATCTTTTCAGGGAGTTCCAAAGACTCTCAACTCTCTGCGTGAAAAAAATT